AACTTGGTGCCAAGCACCTCTCCCCATTAAGCCACCTCTCCAGCACCCACCTGTAGGCTTTTATCTTTATAGCACCCCAGGACAAGAAAACCCACTTTCCCTCCTTCCCCCTGTGCCCCTGCCTTTGCCACTTCAGCTCACTCCTCCCTAAGCTGGTCACTAGGCAGCTGGTTTTTTCCGCTGTAGGTCCCTGGGCAGGCAGCCAGCAGCCGCGCCCAGTGCTGGAGGGAGAGAAGAATGGTCAGAGACTGGTGCTTGTGGTTGAGCTGAATGAGGGATGGAAACTGTTGTGTTGAGGCCAGGCCTGAGGGAGGCCCCAAAAGCTGATGGCACAAATCTTGAGAGCTTGTGCAGTAGTCTCTGCATGTTTCGGGGCCCAGAGCATACACGGCTATCTCTCCATCAGTGGGTCCCCTGGGAGTGAGGGCAGTCCCCTGAAGTACTCTCAGAGGATAGGACGGAATGGAGCACTTAAAATGGGGGCAGAACATGTCTATAACCTGGGTGCCATGCAGCACCACCCCATGCAGCGCCACCCCATGCAGCGCCACCCCATGCAGTGCCACCCCATGCAGCGCCACCCCATGCAGCGCCACCCCATGCAGCGCCACATAGCCAGTTCTTGATACCTTGTTGGTGTGGGTCGGCCAAGGCTACCTGTGTGTCTCCTGCCCCTAGGTCTCAATTGGCATCATGGCATACCCCTTGGAAGAGGCCTTGGACATGATGGTGTCTACCTTCCACAAATACTCGGGCAAAGAGGGGAATAAGTTCAAGCTTAACAAGTCCGAACTGAAGGAGCTTCTGACCAGGGAGCTGCCCAGCTTCCTGGGGGTGAGTGGGTCCTGTGCCCCCGGAGGAGGATGGGGCTCTGGTGGGCGCTAGTCTAGCTACAGCTGGCACGTATCTCTAGGGTGGGGAGACGGAGAGCTTGCTCTGTGTGCTTGGGGTAGAACCACAGCGAACCATCTCCCTCTCGCTAGTCCTCAGCTGAGAGGAGGCTTAGGACGAACACAATTGAAGAGGCAGTGGAAAACCAGAACCAGACCTAAGGCAGTCAGTGTCTGAAGCCCCAGCCTAGATGAGGACTGTTGGCCACAGAAACTGAGTTTCTGTGTGTGAGGAAGCAACTGTGGAGGCCACAAATACCTGCAGGTCCTCCCCTCCTAACACCTCACATTAGCTGTTGCTAATGAGATAGTCAAAACAGGCATGGGGAAGGTGTGGTCCTACCCTTTCCCCATGATTCCAAGCACTTATCCAAGAAGCATCCTCCTCTACATAGCTTAGCCCCAAAGCTGCCAAGGAGGGCCTGGAGGCTTTCCCGAGCTTCTCAGAGATCTAGCTTGGGGTTGGCTTCTAACTGTGCCTCTTCTACCTCCAGAAAAGGACGGATGAAGCTGGATTCCAGAAGCTGATGAGCAACCTGGACAGCAACAGGGATAACGAGATAGACTTTCAGGAGTACTGCATCTTCCTCTCCTGCATTGCCATGATGTGCAATGAATTCTTTGAAGGCTGCCCAGATAAACAGCCCCGGAAGAAGTGAAGACTCCTCAGATGGAGTGTGGGGGTGTGGTCTGCCAGGGGGCCTCTTCCCTGGTGGCTCTGAGCATAGTGCCTTACTCTGGCTTCTTCTGCGCACAATGCTGAGCAAGTTTAATAAAGAGTATTGAAACTAAGAGCAGTTGCTGAAGAGACTGGAGATGGTGGGATTTGGGCTGAGGGAGGGTATATCACAGGGTGGGGGTGGGGACTGCTGGGAGTTGAGCTGGAGCTCGGTAGGAATAAAACTAGAAAAGGTTGGGGAGGAGGGGTAGAGTGGCTGACTTCTCGTGCATGCAAGTGTGTGTGTCTATGTGTGCGTGTGTGTGTGCACTCGCACGTGTGTGCACATACCTACAACAAAGCAAACTCTGGGAACCCTGAAGGCAGAAGCCACCAGAGGCTTGGCTTGGAAGGCTCCAGAAGTGGGAAGTTAGCCAGCCGACCACCCTCCTTCCTCTCTCCAGAACTGCCTCTGGGCTCAAACTGAAGTTGGGACGGGATTGAAGGTCACATCTGCTACTGGTTGGAGGCTGGAGGGAAGACAAGGGGCCTGAGTCACAAGGAGGGAGTCCTGAGGCCAGAGAATGATGGGGAAGTGGACTGGCACCCTTCCCTGACACCTAGAGTCCAGGTCCTGCCCTGTTACCCACTCCAGCTCATTGGTTTCAAAGAGTGGGTTGATCCTTCTCTGTTGATGACTGGATGAAGAAGGGCAGTATAGAGGGGCCATTTGTGGTAGCATAACAGCCCCCTTCTCTCTCTGAGAGGAGGTCTCACTCCTGTAGCCAACTCTCCTAGCCAGCTTCCCAAGTTCTGACGTGTGCCACCATGGCTGATTGAAATAGTCATTCTCTCACAAACTGCCTCTGCTCTCAAAGGACTGTGGGACAAGAACTACTACTATTAAGAATCATGTTGCTTGGAGAAATGCAAGGGAGAAGGAGTTGATGGGGAGGTGGCCATAGTTTTAGAGATGTTATTTTCACCATATTATCTGATAAAGAAAACCGAAATCCCCGTCTCCTCACTCCCTCATGGATAGAACATGAGGCAAATGTTGCTTCCCTTTAGAGTAGGCTTAGGCCAATGGCTTCAGAGTGCAGAGACTGGGGACTGAGATTAAATGCAAAGCCCTGGCCTGGGTGATATGGTGACACTTAGGGAGAGGATGGCAGATTTGCTTCTCAGCCTTACCTGCTCATGACACGGTGCTTTTCTCTCCAGCCTCAGAGGACTGGGTAGGTGACTCAGATGTTCCCTTGGAGTTCCACCACAGAGACCTCGGTCCAGGCTAAGCCCGTCTTCTCTTTTTCGCACCCCCAGTCAATCTGCCCATCTTCCATGGGACTGTGCTCCCCGGAGCTTCCTCCTGCATCACTCTCTACTTTTGGAAACTCCGTTGCCTGGAGACAAGTCCCAGCTGTATTGCTAGTGTAGTAGCTGTGGTGGGAGGCAAAGGGGGCAGTGGGAGGACGTAGGCAGGCTAAAGTGGGATTTCAGCCGGCTGAGGGGCTGTGCCCCTAACCAAATTCTGTTATTAGAATACAGGAAACACACCTCAAACCCTATGCCATGCATGACTATGTCTTACCCCCGAGCCTCTCCCTCAGTCTCAATCCAGCCCTGAGCCTTCCTTTGAACCTTTTCTTCAACCCTGGATTCTCAGTCCTTCAATCCAGGAGTCTCCAATGATTATTTCCATTCTTACTTCATGTTAGCTAGTGGTTTTAGCTGACTGTCCTTGGCAGGAAATACCTTCCTTCACTTGCCCCTCCCAAGATGGGTCCTTTCTGCTCTTGGAACAGATTGGAGCTGGAGGATCTCACTGCAGAAAGTAGCCTAGGATATGGGGAGGTATACCCTGTACTTGGTCCACACTTCCTGCTGTTGCTTTTCTGGAGAGCCTAGCTTAGCTTTTTAGGCCCATTGCTTCACCAGATGGTGAGGTTTAGTAGGAAACATGGATTCTGGTATGGAAAATGTGTACGTTATGGTGAACTTCACGGGCCACCTTCAGCTCTGTTTGTAAACAGCAAATCAAAATTTCCAGAGAGGATTTCCTTCAACCTTTTCTGAATTCCTCACATCTCGGATCCCTTCTCATTGGCCCCGCCCTCCTGCTTCTCCTGGGCACTGGGGACGAGGGAATAAAAGCTGAGAGCCCTGGTAGGGAGGCTGTGGCTGCAGCCTAGACTCTCGGGGTTCTCTCTGCCTTGGTGAGTCCTTCCTCCGGAAGACCTCCTTCATTTCTGCTGGGCCAGCCTGGGCAAGCGAGAGTGTGACAAGACATGGAAACATCCAGAAGGAAGGCCTGGCCTTGCAAGTGGGAGCATGCTCAGGGAGGAGGGCAGAGTGCTTGGAACTGTGACTGTAAGGATTTACTGAGAACCCAACCCGAGGAGCAAGAAAGCTGAGGCAGGAGGATCAAAAGTTTTTGAGTAGTCATCTTAGATACCTTGTGAGACACTGAGGAGGGAGGAAGGCAGGGTAGGGGAGTCGCCTGTGCTCCTAGACTCAGCCAGATGTTCCTACAGATGCTCTGAGTCCCTCCCTTGCCTTGAACTGTGGTCTGACTGAGCCTCCATGGGGTGGGAGGAGCTGAGAGTCTGGGTGGCAAGAGAGGAATGATGGGTTCAGTCCAGTTCAAGAATTTCTTGAGTTTGGAGGTAGGAGTCAGCAATTTCTCCCCACCCTCCTTGTCAGCCCAGGGTTCTCCGCAGGATCTACAGAAGCCCCAGTTCTATGAGCACTGTTTCCTCTTAAAGGGGAAGTGGTTTTTCAGTCCAAGTCCCACAAGCTTTAGCTGTCTGCTCTTTTGGTTATGCTGGCAGAATCGAGGCCATCATCCACACCCAACCTCTGGAGCCATATCTCATGCCCGACCCTGCCCTTGTCAGGCTGTGGGGGAAGCTCTCTGGGCACTAGGCTGCAGGTCACTGGGCAAGTCCAGCCACCTCTCTCCTGCTTCCTGCTGAGATCTTATCTCCCACTTTCAGCCCCAATCCACTCTGGCCCCTGGACTTCTTTTTGCCCCCCCCACCACAGTGAGACACCCCTTCATCTCTAGTGACTCAGAGGCTCAGAAGGGAGGGTGACTAGGTGGGAACGGTGGCTGGAATGGCAGAGCCTAAATTGCAGGGGGAAAAGAAAATTCCTCACTCCTTCATCCGCTGTAGCAGTTCTTTGAAAAAGCTGACTATGCCCTCTGGTCAGCACCTCTTGATCAGGGAAGCCTCTTTGGGGGCTGGACACCCTCACTGCTTCAGCTGTCTCAGTATCTGTCATGGCTCTCATTACAAGCTATCTGTATATACAGGGATCTTCTTGTTGGAGGAGTTTGGTCTCACTGTGGGCTTCTGTCAATGGTGGTTTGCAAGAGAGCTTTTGGATATAACTGGAGCAAGTCTAGCTTCTCCAGGGCCGTGATTGTCTCCTCTCCCACTCCAGAGCGCACATCGTGATGGAGACTCCTCTTGAGAAGGCCCTGACCACCATGGTCACCACTTTCCATAAATATTCAGGGAGAGAGGGGAGCAAGCTGACCCTGAGCAGGAAGGAACTGAAGGAACTGATCAAGACAGAGTTGAGTCTCGCAGAGGTAGGTGGCTGTTCTCATAAGCTCCACTACAAGTTCTGAGCGCCCGTCTAGGGGATGCCCACCTACTGCAGGGCACTCCAGCCTAAGTAAGGGCCGAGGCAGAGGAAGAGGTGGGCATCTCTGCTACCGAGGCTCTAACCCTTTCTGATGGAAAACAGGCAAAAGAGTGAACCTGGGGCACACAACTGCCTGGACGAGGCTTTGCGATCAGGTAGAGGAGATTTGACCATGGCTTCCATAGCCTGTGTTAGGGATCTTGAGGCTCTGAGAGATGTGGGGTGCCAGGTTTGGCTGTGCACAATTCAAGGATAGGGATCCTTCTCGAATCTCGAATCTGCCTGACACAGCCAAGGTCTTAAGTGATATTGTCAAGTCAACTAACAGGTTAATTTACGAACATGGGGTAGGAAGGAGAGAGCGTTGATTCCAATTCCACGGACATGATAGGAGTGGTGGCTGGCTAATCTGAAGGTCTATGAGATAGAGTAACTGAGGTTCAATATGTTGAGAACTTGTCCATTGAGGCTGAGCTGAAGTTCCAGGCCAGGTCCCTGCACCAATCCCATTGTTCCCTATGGAAAAGGTTCCTGGGCAGGAATGAAGCAGGTGCCACATCCCCTATGCCTGTTTGTGGCTTCCCCAAGGCATGTGAAGATTACCATGGCATATACATTTTCTTTTCTTTTTGAGATAAGGTTTCTCTGTGTAGCCTTTGCTCTCCTGGAACTCATTCTGCTGTTTGTGACCAGGCTGGTCACATCTCCATCTCTCAGAGATCCACCTGCCTCTGCTGCCTGAGTGCCACCATGCCTGGCCTGGCATATACATATTCAATACCAGAAACCGCTCAGCTATCCTGGATTGAATGAAGGTAGAAGGAAGGGCCGCTGGTCCATCAGGTGCTAATTACTGGGGGGCAGGGCCCCGGGGGAGGAGCCTACTCTGGGGACCAGGATCATGTTACAGAGAGGCAGTTTCCAGCATCCTGGGTATCAACATCCGGTATCCCAGGGAGACCTGGAACTGCAGCAAAAGGAGAGAGAGCAGGGTCTGCCCACTTCCATTTCCTTGCTCCACCCTAAGGCTCTGCCTTAAACTAGAGCATACAAGGTACAGGGACCAAACTGAGAGGACATCTGGTGCCAGGCTGGGGCTGGGGACGTGCTGGCTTTTCAGCTCCAGTGTACTGATCTACAGAGAAGAATCTAGTGATGTCTGGGTTCTTTCCCAGCTTGGCCTTACAATACGGGCAGGCTAAGCCTGGGACTTGGATGAGGCTCAGGGGTAGGGAGCCAGGACTCAAGCTGTTTTTAGTAGGTATTGGTATGAATTATGATTCTAATTTCTGTGGACGGGAGCATGTCCCAGGGGCAAAGGCTAGGTAGGGAGCCATTCAGCCTCCTTTGGAATCAGCACTCAGGCGCTGCCCCCATTGGTGTCAGGTCCTGTGGTAAGGGTGTGGGGTGGGGTGGAGCCGCTGAGCAGTCTCCGCCCCCTGGACCCTTGCAGAAGATGAAGGAGAGCAGCATCGATAACCTGATGAAGAGCCTGGACAAGAACAGTGACCAGGAGATCGACTTCAAGGAGTACTCCGTGTTCCTCACCACGCTGTGCATGGCCTACAATGACTTCTTCCTAGAGGACAAGTAACCAGGCTCTTCCCTGTCCTCACCTGCAGTCCCTTGCTCTGCCCCTGCAGCCTCTTTAACTGCCCCTCTGATACCCTGGCCCTTCCCTTCCTCACAGATGGATTCTTCCAGTAGAGAAATAAAGCCTTTCCCCCTTTCCATGTGTTGGTCTTGAAGTGATTTGTTTCCATTGGCGGAGGCAGGGGAGAACAGAAATTTTGAGCCATTCAGCCTCGGGTCACATACAGGTGGCATTTACGTGTGTGTGTGTGTGTGTGTGTGTGTGTGTGTGTGTGTGTGTGTGTGTGTTGGTGGGCTTTCACCCCACTCCACGGACGGTCCTTGTCCTGGCCTTGTTCTGCAGTATCAAACGACAAAGCTGGCCCAGGCAATCGCGTGCTTCCCCAGGCAGCAAAGATGCAGAGGAAGCGATGAGAAAAAGCACTTAGGGAGCGAGGAGGCCAGAGCGATGGTCAGTGCCGGTTGGCGGCTGTTAGAGCAGCTCAGTGATGAGCCAGCGGGTTGCGTTTGGGGAGGCCTCGCTGGCAGCCCTAGTAAAAGAGGAGGCAGGGACTTAGCACCCTTCCCTCTGAGTGACTTCAGGTGGCTAATCCCCCCCTCGCCCAACTTCCTCTTTTCAAGACTTGTCTTCAGAAAAAAAAAGGTTCAAAAACTTTTCACTTAACATGAGTAGCTAAGCACGCTCGCTGGGCTTGGCTCCATTGTGTGCACATCAATGCCTAAGCTGCTCTAAGGATGACATTCCCGGCAGTGAGCAAGAGGAAGTGTTAGACAGAAATTAATTGGTGGTGGGGGATGGTGTCCGAAATCCTTTGCTGTGTTCCTCCCCTTTTTCTGAGCCCAAGTTGGCTCAAAATTCTGTCTCGTGGGATCAACCTATTGAACTATATCCCCTTAGACTATCAGAAAACACAAATATTTACATTACAATTCATAACAGTAGCAAAATTACAGTTATGAAGCAGCAGCGAAAATAATTTTATGATTGAGAGAGGTCACCATAAAATGAGGAACTGCATTAAAGGGTCGCAGCATTAGGAAGGTTAAGAACCACTGGTCTAGGGTATCCACCTTAGCTGTCCGCATGACTTTGAGAAAGACGTCTTAGTCTAGCAGACCACTGGCTGCGTCCCCCTCCTTCACCTGGAGCTGACCGTGTCACTAGAGGGCGACAGCCGCAGTGAGGTTCCCACTCCCCCTCACACTGATGCTAACTTTAGGGACGCATTGTGCTCTGGCTGGCAGAAAGCCCAGCATACATGCCAGAGTCACACGTCACGTGCCAGAAGGGCAAACTGAACTATGGAAATTAGGAAAAACTCGAAGTCTCCGGTTTGCGCTGGTCTCTTGGAACAGGGTCACTAGGCTCCCTCAGGCCGCTCCCAGTCCGGGCAGAGGCGTGGAAAACTGAGGGGGACTGGGGGTGTGTTCTGCTGGCCTCAGGCGCAGGGTGGGGCTCGGGGCGGGTCGGCACTCCTTGGGCGCGCCTCCCGGATGCTGGCCGCTATAAGGCCAGCCGGACCGCGACACAGTCCATCCCCCTCGGCCACTCCTTTGGCTTTTCGCTGTCTACGGTGCGGTGAGCTCTCTCTGGGGTAGCCCTAGGTCCTTCTAGGGTCGGCATGCTCCTGGGCTGGGTGTCAAGCCACTTCCGGCCATAGTCAGCCACTACGGGCTCCGCGGGTGGTCTGCACTGGGATCTAAGTCTGTCGAGTATGAGGGAGCCAGGGAAAACCAGGAAAAGCCAGGAAACCCCCGAGGCTAAGGCATCCCATTGGGGCGGCTCCCCGACACTGCTCTTCTGGGGTGCGGGAGGGTTTGTCCTGGGTGTGTCATTGTCATCGCAGTGTGTGGCCCCAGAGGCATCCTCCATCCCTTCCTCTGCTCGGTCATATTCTCCAGCTCTCCTGGAAGCGCTGGAGGACAGTGTTCAGACACCTCAAAGCCGGTTCCACCCTGGCACCCCTAAGCCCCAGTTGCGCTAGGCTGCCACCTGTGTTGGCCTGAGGCTAGCTGGTTCAGGCAGGTAGTTAGGTAGTCACCGGGCTTACAGGATGGTGAGAGAAGTCTTTGCTAGCAGCGGTACTGACTAGCTCCTGTTTCAAACAGCTTCTAGCCCAGTGGTCAATTATGGCATGCCCCCTGGATCAGGCCATTGGCCTGCTCGTGGCCATCTTCCACAAGTACTCTGGCAAGGAAGGCGACAAGCAAACCTTGAGCAAGAAGGAGCTGAAGGAGCTCATCCAGAAGGAGCTCACCATCGGCTCTGTGAGTAACCCTTGCCCGGGTCCCTCCTCTCACCTCCGTCCATGCTAGTGGCCTTTGCACACAGTTCCTGTCTTACTTCCCTAGGAGAGAAGCCTGCATGATCCCAGCCTGCTGTTCTATCCCCTGAGGGAGGAGCAGGGGCTGAGGAGAAGTAGGTTGAGGTAAACACAAGTTTGGTGACTAAGAACAGAAACACTTGCCTGAGCAAGGGCTTCCAGGGAAGGGTAAGGAGCCTAGGGCGCGGCCCACCACTGAACATGGACTTCTCCTTCTAATGTATTAGAAGCTGCAGGATGCTGAGATCGCAAGGCTGATGGATGACCTGGACCGCAACAAGGACCAGGAAGTAAACTTCCAGGAGTACGTCACCTTCCTGGGGGCCTTGGCTATGATTTACAATGAAGCTCTCAAATAAAATGGGAAGGCAGAGATGCCCTCTGGAGGCCTATCTCAATCAAATTCAGTGGTGGGTAATTGTACAATAAATATTTGTTTTTCTTATGTCTACTCGTGTGTTCTGGCTCCCCACTGATTTCTAGCTGCTTCCTGGCTTGCTGATGGGGGCTCACCATGGGCCAGCTTAGTCACAGTTAATGACCTACCCGGAGAAGGCTTGTTAGCTCACTAGGAGCCTCTATGGGCACTGAAAAGATGGCCCCTCTAGGCAAAGCCACCTTAAACAAAGGCTCAATCATTTCCAGAAGAGAGGATCTGGGGTGTGGCATGGAGTTAGGGACCACTAGAAGCAGGACAACAATGCTCCCAGTCGGGTCCTGGAAGACATGCTTTGGTCGGGTGTGGTGAGTGGGGAAGTCTTAGATGGGCCCTGACGCTAGGCAATCCACCTTTTCACTGTGCGTTTGTGTGGTGTCTATGAGTGAGGGGTGACCAAGGACACAGGATGACTGAGTTTTCTGCAGACTGCCTGTGTTTCAGTTGGAGGCGAGGCACACTTTAGGAGTCTGTCCCTACTTTCACTTACAGGGCCCTTTTTGTTGGGTGGTGACCCGAGGAGCTGGCAGCTCCATGGACGTGTGACTCACGGGGTGCTCACAAACAGGGCAGAGTTGGGGTCCTTAGACATGCCAGATGCAGCTTCAGGCCTTTCTGCCAATATTGACCCAGCCTGTCCCTGCAGAATGACTCATGGGGCCACTCCCCTGGAACCCAGCTGAGCCCTCAATTCCTGTCAGAGCTATTGTCTACTGTGTACATTAAGACTTAAATCATAGGAGGGGAAATCTGTGATGTGTCCTGGTGTCACAGAGACAGTATTTGCTGATATTCCTCCCCACAAGGCTTAATCCAAGTTGGGCAACCAACACCTTGGCCAAAATTTGAGGGAAAAAGATCTTGACTTCATGTGGAGACCATAGACAGTTTCTCTTCTTATCACCAGCCTTCTCCAGTCAACCGTACGGCATTAAGTGGACTTTCCTTGCATTCAGTGACATTTCTTGAAAACCTCCCTTCTCTAGTAGCCTCTTGGTCTCACCGCACTGTTAGGCAGTTTGAGGGTCCCAGGGCAGAGCTCGCCCTACACTGTTGGCTCTATTTGGTGGCTCTGGAAAAGTACGCCTTACGTCTTCGCCCACACCCAGTTGTTGACTCTTTGGGGTGCGGAGTGATCGCCCTCTTGTGGAGAGAGAACAGGTTGCAGATAGGGAAACCGATTCGGGGTTGAGGCTGGGAAGGGGGCATCCAGAAAAGGGGAAAATGAGTTTAGTGGGGAGCGGGAGAAAAATCTAGTTGGTATTTGAGCTCCTGAGGAAGAAGCAAGGGAGATGAGGCTGGGGATGGGAGCCAAAGCTTAGCAAGACTGGGCTGTTCCAGGGGAGACAGAATTAGTTATTCAGGGAACACCAAGGTGGGAGCATGCTTTAGCTTCTATCAACCAATTCGATTTCATTCGAGGCACATTTGTTACAAGCAAGTCAAGGAAGAGACAGTTTCTGTAAAAACGGGAATCCGAGGCTGTTTCTTCAGATTCCTTCCCAGGTTAGAAGTCTGAGACAGCCAGCAGCCAGCGAGGCCCCTGGAGGAGGAGTTGTCTCGGGGTTCAGAGGCTGGTGGTGGAAGATGCTTGGTTCCTCAGGAGGCCAACAGGCTGTGTGTGTGTGTGTGTGTGTGTGTGTGTGTGCGTGTCAAAGCTGAAGAGAAACAGAAGGTGCAGAGTCCTTCTGCTAAGTAAGACTTCGCCTCCCTGGTGTGGTGGCGCACCTCTTTAAAGCCAGAGACAGATGAATTGCTGTTGAGTTCAGGGCTGGCCTGGTCTACAGAGCGAATAGCAGGCCAGTCAGGGCTGCATAGTGAGATCCAGTATTAATGAAAAAAGGGGGAGGAGCTTAAACAAAACAAAACAAAGTGAAATAAAACAAATAATAAAATTTTGTCTGTGTTGGGAATATAGTTTGAAAATGAGAAGTGAAGAGGTATTTACGCGGGAAATTTTGGTGAGTGCGGCAGGCGGGGCGTAGAATTGGGTGTGGTCAGATGTAGACTACTTTCTTTTTCTTGTTTTTTTCTTAATTTTTAATTTTTTAAATTTTTTATTTTTTTTTCCCGAGACAGGGTTTTGCCGTAGCTTCGGAGCCTGTCCCAGAACTAGATCTGTAGACCAGGCTGGCTTTGAACTCATAGAGTATCTCTTGCCTCTGCCTCCTGAGTGCTGGGATTAAAGGCGCGCGCCACACTGCCCAGCCTAGACCGACTACTTTTATTTGTCCAGATGATTTCAAGTTGGCCCTTGAACATGGTCTCGGTTCCTAGGAAGGGGCTGGAGCGGGGGACTCACAGATGCCCCAAGACTCCTGAAGGTTGGTCAGAGGGAGTGGCCCTGCTACCCCCTTCCAGTGGCCAAGGCTCTGTTCTTTCCTTCCCCTTCCGATGTGGCAGTAATGCCATAATCTAGTCATCCCTACGCCCTTGAAGCAGGAACGGCAGCATCTGTTTCCACAAACTGGGCTGCCCCCAGGTTGGAGTTTGGGCTGAGACTGACTTGGGCCGCATTATCGGTCCAAGCATGGCTGAGACCAGCAGGAAAGCCGCGGCAATTCCCACAGTGTTGGTGTCCTACAATGCTCGCGTTTGTACAAGGTGTCACTCTACCGGCTGTGGTCCCATCTCCAGAACTGTGTGTAGTGTGTGTTACTAACCTTATTTGAATGTAAGGACAGAGCGGCAGGACCACAAGAGTTCTGGGAGGGGCTGAGCTCTCCTGACTACAGGCCAGCTCATTCCCGCCTTTCTCTGCTGCTTCCAGATTCAAGTTCACTATTTTTTCTCATATCTTTCTTTTAAATGTTCTACATTTAATATGCAAACATCTTATAGATGACACTTAAAATATAAATATTGCAACACAAAACGCCCAGGTTAAGAAACACACATTTATTTGGCTGAGGTGCCTCAGTGGGTAAAGGCATTTGCTGTCTAGCCCGCTGACCTGCATTAAATTCCTAGGATCTACGTGGTGGAAGGAGAGTGCACACAGGCATGTGCACACAGAAATAAATAAACGTAATATAATAAAAAAGAGAAACAGGCTCGGAGAGATGCACAGCAGAGGCCTGGGACTGGGTTCCCAGCACCGGCAGGGAGCAGCTCGCACCAGCCCAAGCTCCAGGGCCCAGGGATCTGATGCCCCCTTCTGGCCACTGCATGCACATGCACTCAATTGCACATATTTTTCCTCCAACAAATAAACACATCTGATTAAAAAATAAACTTAAATCTCTAAAAGAGAGAAAGACTGTAGCAGATACAGAGTTTGGTTAATTTGTTCGAGTGGCTCAAAGAGCCAGAGCGACAGAATTTATGTACTGTTCACTAGGGATATAAAAAAGAAGCAGAGCAACAGCCAGATGGAAAAGATGCGGATGCCAGGCCTGTAAGGAGAAGGAAGGCACACTCCTGCCCTCCTTGGGTGCCCCACGCTCACAGATTCTCTATACATTCAGCCATCTGAGCCCTCTCATTTATTTTATTTTATTTAGAGTCTCATGTAGCCCCAGAGCCCTTAGCTTGGCTATGTAGTTGAGGTTTAATCCTTGATGCCCCTCCCTTTCCCTTCTAAGTGTTGGGATTACAGGTACATGTCACTATACCTGGCTTGAGCCTGATCTTTTTAGTTTATTTGTGGGAGCTTCATTAGGAAGCACGAATGATTACATCCCTAGCCACAGACAAAGTTTGCCTACAGACCTGGAAGGTGGCAGGTGGGGGTGAAAGTGTCAATCATCTAACATCTGGGTCTAGTGAGGGTTACTATTGCTCAGATGAAACATCATGACCAAAAGCAAGTTGGGCAGGAGAAGGTTTATTTGGCTTATCTTACACATTATAGTCCGCTACTGAAGGAAGCCAGGGCAAGAATGCAAACAGTGCAGGAACCTGAAGGCAGGAGCTGATGCAGAGGCCATGGAAGGATGCTGCCTCCTGGCTTGCTCATCATGACTTACACAGCCTGCTTTCTTATAGAACCCAGGACCACCAGCCCAGGACTGGGCCCTACCCCCATCAGTCACTAATTTAGAAAATTCCCCTCTTTTGAGATAGGGTTTCTCTGTGCAACCACACTGGCCACCATGGAACTCATTCAGTAGACCAGGCTGGCCTTGAACTCACAGAGATCTGCCTGCCTCTGCCTCCTGAGTATTGGTATTAAAGACCTTCATCACCAATTTCTGGCTATAGCTCAGTCTTATGGGGGTTATTTTCTCAGTTGAGGTTCCCTCCTCTCAGATGACTCTAGCTTGTGTCAAGTTGACATAAAACTAGCCTGTACATATACAAAAACTTCCTTATCACTCTGTAGATTCTGAGGGTTCTAGAAGCCGTGTGCCTGGAAGGAGAGGAAGAAAATATAGACATTTCACAGTGTCACAGTATGGCTCTTTCTGACTTTCTTTTCCTTTTTGTCAACTGATCTATTTCAATGCCAACACAACACATCCTGGCATACCTTACAGTAATCTTTGAGATCTGCTAAAGCAAATCTCCCACTTGTTCTTCCTTTGCAGGATATTTTATCTATTATTGGCCTCTACTTTAAGATATACACTTTAGGGGACTGGAGAGATGGTTAAGAGTGCTTGCCATTCTTACGGTGAGCTTGGGTTCTGTGCCCAGTACTACATGGTGGCTCACAAAGGCCTGAAGCTCCAATTCCAGGAGGAGATGACGCCATCTTCTGGCCTCTGTGAGCACTGCATGCATGTGGTGCACTCACACACATGCCAGAAAAACACCAATACACATAATACAAAAATGGGTAAGCCAGGTGTGGTGGCACAGCCCCTTAATCTAGTACTCAGAAGGAAGAGGCAGGCAGATCTCTGTGAGTTCCAGTCTATCTGAGGCTATGCAGGGAGACCTTGTCTCAAAACCAAACCAAAGCAAACCAAACAAAACCCAAACACCCTCCCTAAGTAAATAAATATGAAAAAATATATATTTCAGTGTGGGATGTTAGAATTTTGATTGGCATTGCATTGATTCTGTAGAGC